TACGGTAATTGAATATACTTCTTCGAGTTTGGGCCTTTTAATACTGGTGGTGTGCCCGGTATTTGATCCATGCAGGTGTTTACTTCCTTCATGCACCTAAAAAGTTCATCTTTGAACGGATCGTTCGCATTGTTGAGATCAGATCTACTACCCCTAGCCCCGCTAACTTCGTCCCTGGGAGTGTTATTATCAACTCTCTATGTCGTCTGATTCGCGGGAACATCAGGAGGAACTGGATCTCGCTTGTTTGCATTATTTAAGGCATCTGAAAGCGTCTGTTTTAGTTCTGTCATAACATGATCCTGCCGCGTGAGATGGACTAGAATGATTACATGTTGCTCTTGCAGGACCCTTACTGCATACGCTACATGTTCCTCATCAGCATCATCAGGAGCTGCCTCTCGAATCTGTCGAGTGTACCGTCTGTCATGTACCGGTGTAGCGTTGTTCTCCTCATTGCGAGTGTCACTGATTGAATCCTCGAAATAAGGTTGCCCCCCTTGAATTTCAGGGTTGCGTGTGCCGTTAACAGTGTTATCTGCCATTTTTTGTGTTTTTTACTAAGACAAAGTAATTAAAACTCGTTAGTAAAAAAGGCAAGGATCAATTTAATTGCACGACTGTCTAGGCCCCACGGTGGGCGCCAAACTGTTTACCCGTAAAACGGTACAATTAAATTTGTTCGTGGTTTCTAGACATGTGAATTAATTTGATCCAAAAAATAGCGAAATAACTGACGAAATATAAAATACTCAACCTTAAAATGTAGATGAAATGACAGATCTAGCGAGTCTGAGAACAGGGTTTTCGGGCATAATAATGATGAGATCAAAGAGCGAGAAAGCAAAATTGTATTAAAATTCTGTATAGAATATAGTGTAAGTTAGCCAGAAAATTTGTTTCCCTTACAATGATCATTGAGCTTATTAGTTATAGCTATGAAGAAGGCACTAGGGTCGTGCCCTTCTTTAATGTCAATTATGAGGAGCATTGATGAAGACGTAACGGTGGATATAAATGTCAAATTCTTTGTAACGGGTCGTTGCTCTTAATGATGTGGAATTTTCCTCATTGAATGCTACCGGGTGCAGAGTATTCTATGCCTTCATGAACGTTATCATTTCCGGTGACACATGGGATAGCAACGTCCAGTTTTTCGTCCTCCCGGCTTAGGTTCCACGTATCCACTTCTTGGGTAGCCACGTGCCATACCATATTTTACCTAATACAATTTACGCTCCTAAATCCACGGGGACGTACAACATATGTAGTTTATAAAAAAAGAATTGAAAGGCGTTAATGATGTACGAAACCATAAGCATCAACTAGTATAGCTCCAAGACCCGGTGTCATAAGTATATGGGCATTTTAATAATAATACAACATCTGTCCAGAATGTGAATTAGACATGATAAAGTAAATAGTACGATGGAGACTCAGTGGACTACGATGCGTAGCCTGGAATGCTGATCAGATAAAGTCTCCTCTACAGGTGCGCCCACGTGCCAAGATGATTACCAGATGAACCTGTCAGATCCTGCACATTTAGTGCAAAAGTGCAGTATGAGTACGTAAATCAATGCATACCCAGTAAGTATCTAGCCTAACCCTGTAGAAGTAGTGACGGGGTATAGATATCGACACTTACTAGAGGTTAAATAAAATGATATAATAATTCATATCAGATATGAAGTGCACAACGATAGTGGGGTGAATCTGTAAATTACATAATCTTTCAAACATTTCTTTTAAAGTATGAATTTCTCGATCTAGTATCCTACCTTAACAGCTCAGAAAATACCAAGTGCCGATATCAAATAAATAAGGAATACCATATAAAATGCAGAGCATCAGTGGAAATATTATCTCGTGAATATTCGGAGTACTAGCGATATGACGCACGATTATGCTGAGGTTGATCGGCCCGATTCAGAATAATATGTACACTACCGAGGGTCAAGCGGCACGAACCATATATGCATCTATTATACTGCCGAGGCATTCGGCCCACTCCATAAGAAAGAAAGAAAGTTATCGAATTACGAGACACGTGCTTACAACACAGTACATGGGTACAATAGTAAATATACCCCTTTACACTTATCAAATATCTTGGCAACAACTCAAGGTGATAAAACTCGGCCTAATATATTCATATGTTTCTAAATCAGTTTTATTTAAAATTTCAATTAATTAAGCTAGCAAAATGAGTCCAAACAATTCAAATATTACATGATAAAGTCCTAAGTCTACCCAGACATAAACATGCTTTAGCCACGTATGGACTCTCATCACCTCGTGCGTACGTAGTACCCACAACTAGTTGCACGTAACAATAAATATCACCTAGGGGTAGTTTTCCCCTTACAAGGTTAGACATGAGACTTACCTCGCTCCGAATTTCCATAATCGGCTCCAACGCCTCTCTAACACCTCAACTCAAGCCAAACGTCTCGAAACTAGTCAAACAATGTGTAATTCAATCGAAATATACTCCAATGCTTACAATTTAACCATTTATAAAAATTACCAACTCCGCTCGAAAAAATCAATAAAATCAACCCTCGGGCCCACGTGCCCGTATTTCGAAAATTTTTGAAGATAAACTTTATTCATAACACCACAAACTAAAATATATAATTTATTCCAAATTTCATGTCCAATTTCGTGGTCAAATTCTAAAAATACCAAATTCTAGATTTTCTACCAAAATCCCACGCTTTCTACTAATTTTCATGTTTACATCCTTATAAAATCTATGTATTTAACTTACAATAGGTGGGAATAACTTACCTTGCCATAAATGATGAAAATCTCCCTTTAAAGCTCTCCAAAAAATGCCCAAATCAAGAGAGAAAATGAGTGAAAAGAGCAAAACCCCATTTTTTAAACAATCTGCCCAGCCGACTTTCCTCACCTGCGGAACTCCTTGCGCGTCTGCGGCTCCGCTTCTGCGGAAGCTTCCTCGCAGATGCGACTTCCCCAAAAGTGCCAACTTTTTCAGCTTCTGCGGCCATCTAACCGTAGGTGCGCATCCGCTTATGCGAAAATCCTCTGCATCTGTGGACTCCCAAGCTCAAGCACCACTCTGCACCTACGTAGCCATGACCGCACCTGCGGCTCCGCAGGTGCGATAAATTCCTCGCACCTGTGAATCAAATCCAACCCCACTCCCTACCGCTTCTGCGACCCTTGAGCCGCTTTTGCGGTCTCGCACGTGCGGCCATAACCTCGCAGGTGCAATCGCACCAAAAGCCTTAAGCTTCAGCAGTTCTTCCAAGTCCAAACTCGATGTGTTTCCAATCCAATTCGCACCTGAGGCCCTCGGGACCCCGTCCAAACATACCATCACATCCCACAATAGTATACGGACTTAGTTGAAACCTCAAACCACGTCAGACAATATCAAAATTATGAATCAATGATCGAAATCCTTCTTTAAACTTTTAAACTTTTAAACTTCCAAACTTCGGTGAACGCATCCGAACCATATCAAAATATTCTGGAATGACGCCAAACTTTGTGCACAAGTCATAATTCACAATACGAACCTATTTGAAGACTCGGAATCCCAAACGGACATCGACAACACCAAAAATTTATTCCAAATCAAACTTAAAAACTTCTTAAACTTCCAAAATGCCAACCTTGCATAATAGGCGTCGAAATGCTCCCGCGCCACCCGATACTCGACCCGAACATACGTCCAAGTACGAAATCATCATATAAATCTATTGGAACCTTCAAATTCCGATTCCGAGGTCGTTTACTCAAAAATCAAACCTTAGTCAATTCTTCCAACTTAAAACTTCTAAATTTAGAATTTTCTTTCCAAATCAACTCCGAAATTCAATTCTGACTACGCGTATAAGTCATAAAACATAAAGTGAAGCTACTCAAGGCTTCAAACCGACGAACGACGCGCTAGAGCTCAAAACGACCGATTAGGTCGTTACACAATGTTTCCTCGATAATGAAAGAAAATTGATTAGTAAAAATTTAACCGACTAAATTTCATGTCTTTGGTGCTTGATAATTGTTATTCTTCGAGAAAGGGTAGAGAAAAGGGTAGGCCCTCAATATATTGTGGAATACTAGCAATTATTTTGTTCTTTAACGATGTGAAAATATTGCATATTTTGTCCTTGGCTACTATTTTCGCCTATAACTAACAGGTTTCTACCCAAATGCTAGCCTTATTCTTAGCTCTCTCTTCTTTTGAAGAAGTAATTTGTTCATAGTGTTCTCAACTCTTACCGATCAAGAGGCATCACAAGGGGCAGAGCTACGTGTAGCGGAGGTAAAATAGTTAAAAGAAAACAGTTATCTATTCATATTATCCATTAAAAATAGGTTGGATAATGAATTTTTTAAAAATGGGTCAAATATGGATAAGAATCATATTATCCATTTAGAAAATGGATAACCAATGGATAACTAATGTGTTTAACTTTTACATTTGTAAAACCTCAAATTGAGGGTTCCTTAAGTATGAGAGATTAGGAATTCTCTTAAAAGTGATCATACTCAAGAAGTCATGGATAATATGGATATTCATTCCATATTATCCGCGAGTTAACTCTTTTTTTTATCCATATTAAATATGGGTAGGGTCAGATAATTTAACCGTATTAAATATGGGTAGGGTCGGATTATTTAACCGTTTTTGCATTACCAAATTTTTACCCGCCCATATCCGACCCGATCCGCGCATTTTTCACCCCTGGCTACATGTAATAACGGAGGTTTGATTGAATCTCCTTTAATTTGACTCTCACAAGTGGGATTTGAAGAGGGTAATATTATATATATATACAGATCTTACTCTTATCTTTGTGCTGGTAAAGCGCCTGTTTTCGATAAACCCCAGGCTCAAGCCAAGTATAATCGCAAAAACACCGATGACGAGTTAGTCTTTGATCAATATAGGAGGTCAATATATAACCTTTGGAAAAATGCGAAAATTTGATATTGAAGAGAAATCTCTTCTATCCATAAACTGAAATTGAAGAGAAATCTTCATCATTATCACTCTGAAAATTTCAATAAACCAATTATTCCTGTGTATAATTACAGAGTCTTAATTATTCTGTAAAAGTTTTCTAATAGTTCCAGTTGAAGAAATGCTCATAGTCTCCTCCTGTTTATCGCAACTGCAATGTCCATTCTGGCAAAAGGGGATTGCGCCATGACCGCAAGAATTAAAGCAATCCCTAAATGTTGTGCATGGTTCACCAAACAAGACCGAACCTTCCACACTCTGCAAGCCTATAAACAAATATTAATTAATTTTTTGTTATAAAGTATTAAAAAATTTATGTTTAAGTAGAAAAATAATACAACTTTATAGGCCGGTTTAGAAAAAATGTGATAAGTTGCAATGTCTCAAATCCCAAACTATTTCGGATTTGCTATATTAATTATATACTTGAAACTCCAAAAATTAAATTAATTTGTATTATGAAATACTTTTATGTTAAGAATTCAATTTCTTATTTAGGCATACAAACATATATAGAATTAGAATTTTCGTTTGATGAGAAAGTAAAAGAGGGAGAAATATATACCTATTGTGATAAGCATCAAACAAACCATGGAAAACAAAGTGATGGATCCCTTCCACATAGCCATATTGAAAACTGAAAAGTGTGCAACAAATTTTTGATGAGTTATAACTTGTATAAATACCTATCACTTTTCTTGCTATATATAGTTCTGAGAATCACAATTTAAGGTAAGTGCAATCTGAAATAAGTTTGAGAAGAATGACAAGTAATTTATTTATGATAGATTGAGGAAGTTAGAAATTAATTTGGTTTCCATAAGGATACACCCACTTTCCTTGAAGTAATAAAGCAAAATTTAATAATAGGTCCAACTATAATCAATAATATACCAACTTACCAAAACAAAGAAAAGGAAAGAAAGAAAAAGTTCAAAATGTGTAGGCTAAAAATTTTCAGTGTAAAATGATAAGGATTGCATGATTATGAAAACCTTTTTGGACAAAATATATTGGGTACTTTATGTGAAGAAAATTTAGCCAAGTTTATTGTATTTTTTGAAAACTTTTAGAAGTATTCTTTTTATTATATTTTCTCAAAAATAGTTTCAAATTTTGATTTTTAATTTTCATGTAACGACTCGACCGCTCGTTTTACTTTCTAGAACCATGTTCTCCTAAATAAGACTCTCCCGCATGTACTTTTACTGTTTTATGACTTGCGGGGATGGTTAGATCGGGTTTGGAAGGATTCGGATTGAAATCGGAACACTTAGTTCCTTATTATTGGCTAAAAAGGGTAAGTTTGACTTGGGTCAATATTTGTAGTAAACGACCTCGGAACCGAGATTTGGCAGCCCCAATAGGTTCGTATGATAAATTTGGACTTAGGCGTGTGTTCGGATCGGGTTTTGGATGACCCGGGAGTGTTTCGGCGCCTAAAGTTGAAAGTTGGCACGTTGAAAGTTTTAAAGTTCTTTAAATTTGGTTTGAAGTAGATTTGGGTGTTATCGAGGTCGTTTGGGATTCCGAGCCTAGGAATAGCTCTGTATGGTTATTTAAGACTTGCACACAAAATTTAGTGTCATTCCGAGTAGTTTAAGTATGGTTCAGCGCATTCGGAGTGAGTTGGAAGAACTTGAAGTTCAAAAGTTGATTTGATTTTATTTGGAGTGTAATACTTAGTCTTGATGTCATTTCACGTGTTCCGAGGGTTCGACCGAGTCTGTTTTATGATTTCGAACTTGTTGGTACGTTTCGATGAGGCCTCGGGTGCCTTGGATGCCATTTGGGCGATGCGCGGAACTCGATTGGACTTGGATGAAGTTGCTGAAGCAGCAGGGCTTCTGGTGCATTCGCACCTGCGAAGGATTGGCCGCAGGTGCGGCACTGCAGAAGCGGCTGGTTAGCCGCAGATGCGAAATTGGGCTAAGTGAGCTGAGTCCGCAGGTGCAGACATGGAGGCGCAGATGCGCGACCGCAAAAGCGGTCAATGGTCCTCAAAAGCGGCCTTGAGCTGGAGGGGCAAGGGCACAGGTGCGAAGGCTCGACTGCATCTGCGAACCCGCAGATACGAAGAGGGCGCTGCAGAAGCAGAAGGAGGCCAGCTAGGGAGGCCGCATCTGCGATGCATTTTTCATAGATGCGGAGCCGCAGAAACGGAACCACTAGGAGGCAGTGAGGTTCATTTAAGACGGGACTTAGGCCATTTTGCTTCATGTATTTCACTTCTTGGGCGATGTTTGGATATTCTTAGAGAGGGGTTTTCACCTAGCTATTGAAGGTAAGTAATTCCTATCCAGTGTAAGTTAAATACATAGATTATGGGTATATTTAAATATGTAAAATTGTGAAAATTATAGGTTTAGTTGAAAAACTTAGGTTTTGATAAAAATGGGGATTAACCACGAAAATGATAATGGAATTGGGTGAAAATTATATATTTGAGTTCGTGAGGTTATGGGTAAGCATTATCTCAAAAATTTCAGGAATCCGGGCACGTGGGCCCGGGAGTGAATTTTAGGAATCTTCCAATTAGGGGTGGCTAATTACCCTAATAGTTAAATTATGAACTTTTGAGTATATAATGATTTATTTATATAATATTTGGCTAGTTTTGGGTTGTTTGGCACCAAGTTGAGGATTTAATGCGTATTTGTGGACTGGAAGTGAGCTTGAGAACGAGGTAAATCTCTTGCCTAACCTTGTAAGAGGGAACTCATCCCCCTAAGTGTATTTTGTTGTGTGTTACTTCTCTGGGGAGCTACGTACGCACTAGGTAACGAGAGTCCATGCGTAGCTATATTTTTCACGAGATGTCTGGGTAGTCTTAGATTTACATCATGCTTTAATTGTACTATCATATTTATTGTGCATATTAATTATCTTAAATAGAGCTGAGACTAGAGATTTTAGTTGAAAACTTCCAAGTTAGATTTATCATTTTTGGGAAAGATTTGAAGAATACTTAGTAACTTTGAGAAATCCATGTCCTCTCGCGTCGCAAGTACTTCCGCGAGCGAGGTAAACTTCTCTATTCTCATGGGAGCGGGTCGTTCGCCTCGGCAGTATAATAGATGCATCTATGGTTCGTGTCGTTCGACCCTCGACAGTGCATACAATATATTTTTTAATCGAGTCGTACGACCTCGGCATAAATCGTGCGCGATAATACTCGGAGCCTGATTACACTTGATATTATTTTATGGCTTGAGAGGTTATAATTTATTTAATGATAGAAATTGCTTTGGGGTTAGTAAGTGTTTGGATAGAGATTTTGGAATTTATTATCAGTTAAGGAGTCATTTATTCATTGCTTGTTATTGTGTTATTATTATTATTTCTATATCCCATACATGTTTAGAATTTTCTGTATTTTATTGTTGGCCTATAGTAAGTGTCGATATCGACCCCTCGTCACTACTTCTTCGAGGTTAGACTGGATACTTACTGGGTACATGTTATTTATGTAATCACGCTACACTTCTGCACTAATCATGCAGGATTTGAGGCAGGTACATTTGGTAGTCATCCCGGCTCGCACCCCTGATACTCCGAGAGTTAGTGGTGAGCTACTTTCCGAGTTCGTTCTGCAGCACCCGGAGTCTCTCTTTTGCATTTACTTTCTGTCTACTCTATTTCAGACATTAGTTTAGTGTTTTGTATATTCTACTAGTAGCTCATACACTTGTGACACCAGGTCTTGAAATTATGCTAGTAGACATTTGATGGCTTTTGAGTATTTATTTCACCACAATTGTTCTTATATTAGTTTACATTTTATTTTATTGAATGTTTCACCTCTTACTGACTTAATAAATAAAACTCAACTATTTGGAAGTTTTTAAAAGAATAAATACATGGCTAGTTCACTGTTGGCTTGTCTAGCGGCGATGTTAGGCGCCATCACGACCTATAGGTAAAATTGGGTCGTGACAACATGGTATCATAGCACTAGGTTCACATAGGTCTCACAAGTTATAAGCATGCCTAATAGAGTCTTGCCCGTACTTATTTTCGAGAGGCTATAGGGTGCTAGGAAACTACTCTTTCTTTATCTCCTACTATGCAGTTGATGTTGTGCTAAGTATCTTTCTCTTATTCTCTCACAGATGGTGAGAAAGCGTGCGGCAGATGTACCCGATCATGGAGGAGTTCCTCCCCCTGTTACTATAGGCAGGGGCAGAGGCCAAGGGAGGTCTCCAACTCGTGGTAGAGGACGAGGGCATCCCAGAGATTCTCCAGTTATGCCACTAGTGGATCCAGTATAGGATCCTATTATTAAGGAGCATGGCGAGGTGCCTGCAGCGGAGCCATCCCAATGGATTTCAAGTATGCGCCACTATTCCAGGATGTCATGGGTCGTATGCTGCAGTTCATGGATTCTATGACTCAGACTAGTTTATTTCCAGCGTACCCAGTCACATCTCAGGCGGGAGGGGGAGGACAGACCCCTACCGCTCAGGCTCTAGGGAATATAGTTGTTGTATATCATACCCTAGGCGCACTACCCGTGGGCGGATCCCAGCCAGTTATAGCAGCCATACCTGAGTCCAGACCAGCTGCGACCGGCGAGCTGCAGAAGCTATTAGATAGATGAACCAGGCTACATCCTCCTGTCTTTGGAGGTGAGCGACATGAAGACCCCAAAGACTTTATTGATTGTTGCAGGGATAGACTGCACAACATGAGGATATTGGAGTCCCACGGGGTGGACTTTACCACTTTTCAGCTGGAGGGTAGGACCCGTAGGTGGTGGCAGTCATATATTCTCGGTAGGCCAGCAGGTTCTCCTCCCTTGACTTGGGACCAGTTCACACATATCTTTCTGGATAGGTATATTCCACCTTCTCATAGAGAAGGGTTACAGTTTCAGTTTGAGCAGCTCCAGCAGGGTCAGATGTCGGTGACCGACTATGAGGCGAGATTCTCTGAGTTGTCTCGCCATGCACTTATGATACTTCCTACTGATGCAGAAAGGGTGTAGAGGTTTGTTGCAGGGTTACACTCTGGTATCCAAGACACCATTGCCCGAGAGGTTGAGATGGGGACTTCTTATCAGGTAGTTGTGGAGATAGCTCGGAGGATCGAGGGTGTTCGTCAGCGGAGCCGAGAGCAGGTGCCGAGGGGTAAGCAGTTCTGTTATTCTGGAGGGTTCAGTGGTGCTCCGTCTGGGGGCAGAGGTTAGTTTGTGAGGGGTCAGTCTAGCAGGACCACATATCCAGCACCGCCGCCTTCTCGGGGTGCTCTAGTGCGGCCCTATTTCAGAGCCATTCTAGAGAGCTCTTACCGCTCACCAGCTATTCAGGGCTCCTCCAGTGGGTATTCCGGCCATCATGTCCAGACTTCAGGTCATCATTCCACCATTCCGAGGGGTTATTACGAGTGCGGGAATCCTGGCCACATGAAGAGGTTTTATCCCAGACTTCAGGGCAAGGCATTACAACACGGTCATCAACCTATGATTTCAGCACCAGCTGTCGCACCTGTCGTCCGGTCGCCTAGAGGTGGAGGGCAGGTGGGTAGGGGCTATCCCAGACGTAGAGTCCAGTCAGGTGGCGCTCCAGCTAGGTTCCATGTTTTCAGGCCAGACCAGATACAGTGGCCTCAGATGCCGTGATCACTGGTATTATTTCTATCTACGATAGGGATGCTTTGGTA